CGTTTCCTTTTTATTTTTCTTTTCAATTGTTGCAATCGAATATTTTCAATCTATATGTACGTTCATATAGATTAACATGTTCTTCATAAATTTTTTCCGTAGGAAAACGGCATCATCGATTTTCATTCTTTCATCCTTATTTTGCAACTTTATTACTTTTATTTCCATTTTTAACACATTTTTTTTCTGAATTTTCATTTTTCTGTTTGTGTACGTGGTGGCACATATTAATCAAATTGATGAGTCTCAAAAGGTACAATATAATTTTATACCGTTAAATAAAAAACAATAAAAAAATATATTGATATATAATGTATGTATACATGTGTACCCAAATCATGAATTTATTCTTGTGTATGTAGAAATGTTTATTTTTCTTATCTTCTAAACGGGTTATACAAAAATTATAACAAAACTGTTCTTATGAAAGCTGTGGGTATATAATCACTTACTGTTAGTACTGTCAATAATTTTTATACGAATATTTTTGTACATAATTTCGAATAAAATTCAATTTTCAATTTTATTTCTATGTAATAAAAAATTAGTTATAATATATAGATGAAAATTATAATAAAGGAACCGACATTATCTGGAGCCGTACAATAAATAAAGGAAAATAAAAATAAAGGTGTTATTTGTTATCTTTGTTTTACTTTATACTTCATTTTTAATTTAGCATGAAATTTTATAGGATTCAAGGATAAAATTATTATTTGCAAATCACAGGGATGGGAATTATGCTCCACAGAATAAAAAAAAAATATATTAAAAATGTTGTTATACAAATATTTAATATATTTTTCAAACTACTAAATCTGCTTGCCAATCGAGTAATAAAAACAGCTTTTGTGTTCTTATTACTCCTTTGGCAAGCCCTACTCGAATGCAAAATGTAAACATGGGCTGAAACTTTTGTTGCTCCTATAGTCGTATAAATGAGGGCCAGAATTTTCACAAAATCATAGAAAAAACACGACCACAGTGTAAAAAGGAAGATAAATGTATTTTTTTCGTGTAATATGCCGCCACGATACAGAGCTTCTACTCTATAAATCGGGTTTATTACCTTTTCAATTTATTCAAAATATTAACAATTCTAATAATGAATAAGAAAAAGTAACAAATGAACGAAGAACGAAATAAACGCGAATCAATACGTCGTATTGTGTAAGTCGTAATTACTTTAGTTTACATGAAGGCAAAGTGTTACCGAACAACATGCGAAATTTTTATAAAGAACCTAATTAGAGTTCTTAAAACAACTAAGACTTAAAATCGAAAAGACTGAAAAAAGACCAAACATTTCCTTAATCATTTACCAAAGATTTAGTTTTCAAAGATAAAGCATATACCAATAAAATTCTTGTTGATAACTTAACTTTCACCATCACTATCCTTTAGAAATATAGTTATTATAAATTTTAATAAAAAGAAGTTTCAACTTTCAAAAAATTTCCAGAAAAATATTTAAGAAAATAAGGAGGAAAATCTCTAAAATTTTATTATATACTTGAGATATTATTCAAGGCCATCGGAGCTGCAGAATACAATAGAGAAATTCTTTTTAATAATAATAAGAAAAGTATAAAAAATTAAGGATTCCGTATATTTTTAATAATTTCTCGTCATCATTCCGAGAGAATATGCAAAACTTAAATATGCTCTTTTTAACATAAAATGTTATTGTTTTTCTCAAAGCATAAAGAAAAGGAATTTTTACTTTGGATGTGCTCATTTTAACTTGCTCTTGCATTCATTTCGTACTATAAGTACAGCTATCTTGAAAGTGAATCTCGAAATTCAAAACCTATTGAATTATTAAGTATTGGAGCCAAATACAAATATTTATATTAGTTTTTCTTCGGAATTTTTGTTTTAATTTTATTATTAAATTCTTAGTAGAACACCTACATGGGTATCTCAATGTTTAGATTTTTTTTGTAAAGTATAGATACTTAAAAACAAAACTATTTAGCAAGTAATATTTAAAGAAAACTCTGATTTCTATTAAATATACCTACAAGGAATCCTTTGTACTAAGTGAAGGCAATTAACTTTACAACTTCTGCACGAAACGCTTTATAATCAATTTTAATTTACAATAATTCTCAACAACCCGAGATAGAGAAAGCTATACACATGAAATACTCACATGATATAATGGAATTTCATGACACAAAATATTCCTCAAAGCTGAAGGTTAAATTCTAATCATGTATTACACTTACATACAAACATATTACATGCACGTTTACTAAGAAATTTCAAATTTTTTCTATTATAGTTGTTCTTTTCTTTTGAACAACTTATTAAAAAATATTTTCTCTTTCGTGATTATTTTTAAAAAACAATAATGAATTTTTATTTTAACTAGCTTTTTAGTTTTTTTATGATTTTGACATAAAATATAAAATGAAAGAGCACATATTTTTTACCTTGAAAAATATTCACAGTAAATCTACAGAAATTCGTATTTTAAGTATGTATATATGTATGTAAAGTACTAAATTATACTTATACATACATATATAAATTTATATTTGCATATATAGAATAATTTTAATTAATCACGTATATCCTGTAAAGAATTCAATTTAAAATTTTCAATAAGGATTTTAATATTATTATCCATATAGTTTATAGTTTGTCATAAAGTTTAGAAATCGTTTACTTCCCTTACTTATTTTTAATTTTATCAATTGAGAAAAATATAAAAAATAATCAAAACAATTTAAAATCTTATATTCTAAGTTCAATGAACACTTTTGAAGAGTTTTTACACTTGAGACGTAATTTTTTAAAACAGGATTTAATTACCTTTCAGAAATAAGTGAAATAATCGCATAATTGCATGTCACATAAATTTGTAACCATCTATAAAATATAGCATTTGTACCTACTTTTTTATATCAAAATTATTGTGTTATAACTGGCCCACCTCAAAATTATGTAGAATAAGACATTTTTAAAATAATCTACATTGAAAACAACTTGGAAATCTCAGGAAATTATTCTGAATTCGAAAAGTCATTGAAGATTAGAGTTTAAAGTTAAATCATTAAATTTTCACCGCAGCACTTGTTGTATATTGCAGAACGGGACGATGATGCATTAGTTTATAAAATGATGCATTCCGAAAACTTTTTTAGAGAAATATCTCGCAACGACATACCCACCCCCCAAACTGTCTCTTGTCTTATAGACTAACGCTGCCCACCTATTGAGAAGGTTCAATTGAACTATTCCCCATAAAAAATAAAGTGACTGAATGATGATTTAATTTAGTATAAGTATACTTTTGGAAAAGTATACTATATCTTTTTTTCAATTAGTGATACACAGTACGAAGAAATACTCACATATTTCTAGTTCTGTGAATAAAAAAGGCGAGATACACAAAAAGAATTTTGATGGTTGTATAACGTTAACAAATGAATTTCTTTAAGCAGTAGGTATATGTATAGCACAATAAATTTAAAATTCAAACTCATGGTTATTGCAGTTAAAATAGTATTTTTATACCCGTACGAATGTATGGGCATACTAAATTTGCCTTACGATTTAGCTTTGTCTGTTCGCCTGTCCATCCGTCCCAACGAAAATTCAAAAACTAATTGAGCAATAATAATTTTACCATATCTTAGAAAATATTGAATTGTACAGAAATTTTTTACACAAAAAATACACAAAACTGAAATATTGCATAAATTAATATGGCAATATGGCAACTTAAAGTCATAGTATGTTCCATAGTCAACTATGAAATTTTCATAACTCGCACATATGACAACAAATTTATACAGGTATCACAGAGTTGACACGGCAACTCTATTTTTTTTCGTTTCAATTGAAAATAAAATATTTCAACCAATTATAAATATTTTCTTTTAAAAGAATTCATTACCACCCGCAAAGTTTAAACAAAAAATATGATCATAAAAATTATTACAAAATAATTTACAAAATTTTCTTTACAAAAAGTTCAAAGAAAACATATCAAAAATAAAATATTCCATAGATTACCAATAAAATAATGTGTCTGGGAGAAAAACTGGAAAAGCAAGAAACGATATAATTATTAATCTCAACTGTGTATATAAGTATATTCTTTAATTTAAGCTTCTATTATTCTTATACAGCCATTCACCCACCAATTGTTTTTTTTTTTTCAAAAATCCCCTTGGAGATTTTATTGTTCATTTATTTATACATTCATGAATTTTATAAATTCGAGGACAAAGACTGAATTTCTATAGCAAAAAGGAACAAATATGATAAAAGATTACAATTAATTGTGGAGACCGGTCTTTATTTTGTAAAATCATTTTACGAAATAATAATATCATTTCGTTATACTTTAAAAAAATCATTTGAAATATTATTTAAATTTTTATATGTAAATCGGTACCTACTTTTCTCTATAATTTATTAAGGAAAAAATTGCTAAATATTATAGAATCAGGTTCTTTCATCATGAAATCAAAAACAGCGTTCAATACTACAATATTATTTAATATAATATTGTAAATTTTAAAAATATTGCTTTCAAATTATGCAAATTGACATTATCGTTTAATAATTCTATTATGTATTTGATTTTTAATTGATAAACTCATAATATAAAACCACAGGGACAAGTAAAATATTTTTAACTTGAAATTTTTGTTCTGAATTTTCAATAAGCAACCTGGTATAATAAAGGTAATTTTGATAAATTATAGATTGCATAACTCTAATTAATCCAAAATCCAATCAATGAATTTTAATATCATAATATCAAGATAATTAAGAGTATTTGTAGTTTTTCTCTTACTCCTAAGACAACAATTTGTGCATTTTCTAATTGTAATCTCTAAAGAATTTATTTTTATAAAAATATTTTGTTTAAATATTATTGAAAAATTAGTACTTAAATATTTATGTTAAAAAATTAAAAATATTCTTGTTGGAATATTTGAGGAATTTTTATTAAATTAATTTTATTAATTTATTTTCAGGCAATCATAGGATAATATTGAGGACATGATTGGTGTAATTCAAAAGAATGATATTTTGGCAAAAATATTTTCTATCATTTAAAGTGAATCAACACAATATGAGAGCAGCATTAGTTGCCTTTTACTTGTCAAGTAAGTATTGTGATATTTTATTTATAGTGACAGTACACATAAAAACGATTTCATTAAAAAAATAAAATAAGAGTTTTAATAAAATTTTACAACATGTTTTACAAATTCTTTTGCTTTTAACTCTTTAAGCCAATTGTTTGTAAAGTAGCAATTTTCCCTTCAACAAGTGAAATCACTATTTTCAAAAACGATCTAGCTACTTTCATTTATACACTAAAATATGTATAGCAAATTATTGCATATATTTAGGATCAACAAAAAAAAAATTGAAAGAAACGTAAAGTAATGGTCAAATTCGATGGTTGAACAAGTGAGTTAAGATAAATTGGTAATATTTTTTGATGATTTTACGCATTTTATTTTACCTATTTGGTTTTGAAGATACTTGAAAAAGCTCGCCGTTTCGGAAATATAAGGCGCAGAAAATTTAAATTTTATGAATTTCGAAAGACATTTTAATGTGTTTAATAATAAATTTTAGTTTTCTATCCTAAAATAATTGACAATTTTTTGTAATATAAGCTTCAATAATTTCGAGACTTACACATTAGCGATATAGGGGATTTGCAGCTCCCGTTTAAAATTTTTTAAAATTTATTTAATTAATATTGAAAAAATAAATAACATAATAATTTATATTAATTTTCATTTTTCCATAATAATACCTCGCTTAGAACTTTATCGTAACCTTGTAATAATAATAAAATTGCAATTTCACAACTCTTCAACATCTTTTAGTGAAGTCCAATAAAGTATTTGAAAGTAAATGTTTGACTTTGAGGAAATCCTTTCTTCGATGTGCAACATTATTCTATAGAAAAGTATTCGAATATTATTCGGACTAACCGCTCTTTCATCTAATTGTGTTAACACAAACAATCATACTTGAAGATTCCACATTACAGAACTAAAATATTAAATAAATCGAACAGCTTGAACCTGTTGCAACCAGACCAACTTCATATACAATCTTTAAAAAAGCGATTACCATAACTATCTTGTAAATTAAATATTATTATCCGCTTTCCAAATAATTTAAAAAAAAATTTTTTAATAAATGTTATTTTTTTCAAAATTTTTTTTTTAATATTTTTTGTCTTAAGAATATAAGATTCCAATAAAAAGAATGTTAAGCGTCGGGTTATTATAAAATAAAAGTCTGTTTAAGCAAGTACATTGAAGATAATTTCAAATTGAAGGTATTTTGAAAAGCGAGAAAACCATCTCATTTTCTTAAGACGATTCTCTTAACTTTATTTCAATACTTGCAGACAAAAAAAAAATTACTCAAGTATCTCCAAGGAAGGCAATCATGTAAAATTATAAATTCTTTGTTAAAAGAAAAACTTGCTTGTAGTACAAAAAAAAAAAAAAATGCTCGTATAAAATATTTTCAATTATGCTCTAAGATGATTATTGTGTCGTTTTAAAGTGCACTTACACTTTTTTTAACTAGGTAGTTAATTTTTTCATTGTTGGTACGATGATTTTCTCAGTTGCATTACTTTTCCTTCAGATAAACTCAAGTATTAAACAACTATTACTTTTCTTTTATTATTCACCATGGTTGCATTTAATTTTATAGTTTTGCACTACTACTGGAATACCGAAAAATTATTTTTTATTACAACATTAATTTATTCTTCCTGAGACTATAAGAGTCAAAACAATCCCAAGTAAATAACAGCAAATAACAATTTTGTGGTGAATTTTTTCTAATCTTTCTCTTAATACATGAATTTCGCGAAGTTAAGTATCGTAAAATTCAGTTTTCAAAATTTCGTCAAAATATTATTAAATTGAATGAAAAAATTTAATTTTAAATTGTGAAACGACAATTTTAGAGAAATGAATGCTTGATATTTAGCTCAATCTTATAAAAAAGTTCTAATATTTCTATAAGATTGAAGAATTGATTGAAAATCAAAGTCATTTCTCAATATTATTCACATAAATTCATACATCGTGTAATTTTGGAAGACATTTTGAAATAGATGACCGAGATCTACCTAAAGTTAGAACTAGTTTAACATATAAATAAACCTCCTGATGTTTCCTTTTGTTATATTTTATTTTTTATGAAAAAACCGAGTCAACAACTAAAAACTTTCCATGTCGACTCTCAACAAATATCTCTACTTATTGATGTGGCAGATATCAGCTTTCTACCTAATACGTAATCTTAATTATGCAGCCCTTAAAGGCTGTTTAATAATTTTTTTGGTTGTCATTTAAGTTTTAATGTTTTAGTATCTTTTAATTTGTCATATTTTCTGTAATCATAAAAATATGGTTTCTTAGCAAGCAAAGAAAAGAGGAGCTAAAATTTTTGAAAAAACCCTCCTGCCAATTTTGTATAAACAAACTCATACAAGCTGCACTTGGTTCCAATCAAACATTCTTTTCCAAAAGTAATTTTTTTCAATTTTATAACAATTAATTATAAAAAAAAAAGAAATTTCTTTAATAAAAATTAAACAAAAACTTGGAAAAGTTTAGTGTTATTTCAGTGTAAATTAATTTACAGAATAAATTAATTTGTTAGTTAATCTCACCAACTTTTAAATGGTTATGGTTGCATAATTCTTTACTTTTAAGTAATTTAGTTAAGCAGTTGTAGAAAAGCATAATGTGAGAAGTTCTTATGTAGTTAAGATGGATTTGCTTTCAAGGACGTTTAAAAAAAATATAGAAAATAAAATTTCATGAGTTTTAAAGGACATAAAAAAATTCTCTGTAATGCCTTTAGAGGACATTGTTTTGTCCTTTAATTAATAATTAACTTCATATTATAATAAAAAATAGAGTTCGTATTTGGTCATAAATTTTCAAAGAATTCTTTTGTTGCCTTTTCTTGCTTTTAAAAATTTCAAATACTTCAAGTAGTAGGGAACGAAATTCGTAAAAATTTTATTGTTGAGTGCATTCTTATGGTTAGAATGAATGTTACAATTTTAAGATTTTTCTTTTATTAAATTTTAAATATTTATTCCTTTTTACCTGGAGGATTTATTTTTTTTCTGTGTATTACAAATTTTCTTCAATCAAAAAGTAAATAAATTTCATTTCAAGACTCCTCATCTTTTTGAATAGTTTAATACTTTTCTTTCCATGTTTTACTTTCTTTTCTTGTTTTTTTTTTCCCTCAATTTCTTGAAAGGATAATAATATTAATATTTTCTTTATATTTTATATATTTACTGTTTACGTATACAATTTCAATGATTATTTGAATTGAAAATAAATTTTAAAATAACATTCTTGTTAAAAGAAACGTGTATAAACATAAGGTCATGGTGGATATTTTCTTTTTACATTTTATATTTTGTTTTATATTTGTCCAAAAATTTACATTCATTTATGAATAAATAATTCTTAATATAATACATAAAGTAACTTGAACATATTTGCATTTTAGGATGAAAATTTTAACAAAATTTACTCAAAATTCTATTGTAAATACCTATTCATAGATTTTAAGATTTTTTAAGGACCTATTCAGCATTCCCATAACATTTATGTACCTGGGATATGTTATGTATAAAAGAATTAAAGTATATTTTACCTTAATTTTTAATTTTTGTCATCATTAAATCTAATAAATTCGGTGCAAACTAATGTTTTTGAAAATAGCACATTTTCCTTCAACATATAAGATAAGCTATTTATCATTAGTTTTTCGCTTTTATAGAAATTTGAGTAAGCTTTCAGTCATTTGAGTACACTCAGTAAGGTAACGAATATTAAAAATTTTTCGAAATTCAATTAGATGAAAGTGGAGAGAGGCAAAAGAAAATTCTGTGTATAATAGAATGAATTTGATATCAATGTTCAGAAGCTTCTTAATTTTCAGACTCCTACAGGTTACTGTCTAAAGGGACAACAATGTTACATAAACGATGTTAAAAACGAAATTTAAGAAAAAACGGATACGAGAATTACTCTTTATAATTTCAACGGCTACTTTTCTCTTAACATTTAACTTTGCAGTTTTTCAACAGAAAAGACCATTAAATGCAAAGAAAAATTAATTTTTAACATTTTGAGTATAAAATTTAACTTTTCTACTAGCAACAGTTTATTCTGTTTTTTGTTTAGTTTTTTTATTCGCCTAGGACTTAAAATATCTCCAAGAACCAACCACTTTTAAAAAAATAGAGTTAAAAACTTTTAAGATTTACAAAATACAATGAAATTCAAAAATAATAAAATTTTATTTCTCTTGCTTTTTCATGTTTCAGTTTTTTCAACGTTAATTATTTTACCACCGACAACATTGGCTGATGATTGGTCAGCTAGTTGCCCATCAAATTGTACATGCAAATGGACAAATGGTAAAAAATCAGCAATATGTAGTTCATTGGAGCTAACATCAATACCAACAACACTTAGTACTGAAATACAGGTTCTAGTCCTTAATGATAATCAAATAGCATATTTAAATCGTGAAGAATTCATTAATTTAGGACTTTTAAATTTACAACGAATATACCTCAAAAAATCCAATATACAGTATATTCACAAGGAAGCATTTAAAAATTTAAAAATTTTAGTTGAAATCGATTTAAGTGACAATAAAATCGAAATGTTAGATAAAGATACATTTATGGGTAATGATCGTTTAAGGATATTATATTTAAATGGTAATCCAATCAAGAAATTGGTTGCATATCAATTTCCAATTTTACCACATTTAAGAACATTAGATTTACATGATTGCCTAATTAATTACATTGATCCATTAGCATTTGCAAATTTAAAATTATTAGAATTTCTGTATTTAAAAAATAATTTATTAGAAAATCTATCCGAATATGTATTCAAGCATATGAACAATTTAAAAACATTAGTATTAGATGATAATCCATGGCAATGTAATTGTAAATTACGTAATTTTCGTAGCTGGTATATTAAAAGTAAATTGAATAGTATTAGCTTAACATGTAAGGGACCATTTCATCATAAATCAAAACATTGGGAGAATATTGATGATGCACATTTTGGTTGTCAACCAAAAGTTGAAATATTTAGTAATGAAGATGTACAAAATATTGATATCGGTACAAATACAACATTTAGTTGTTTAATATATGGTGATCCAATGCCTGAAGTAACATGGGAATTAAATGGTAAAAATTTCGATAATGATAATATACTTTTTGATCAGGAAATAATAGCAAGCGATAAATTATGGAGCAATTTAACAGTATTTAATATGACGAGTTTAGATGCTGGTACATACACGTGTTCAGCTCAAAATGTTGTTGGTATTTCAAGTCAAAATATAAGTATATATCTTACGGAAATTGTACAGCATGTTTTAGTTAAAACACCAGAAACCTTTTGGTATTTTGGTTTAATAATGGGTACATTTGGCACTGTATTCTTATTAATATTATTGTCATTTGTTGTTTGTTTATGTAAGAGACAAACAAGACGTCGACGACATCCTAGTAAAAATATTAAAGGTAGTGTTAGTTTTAATGATCAAGAAAAGAAATTATTAGATTTGAGCATAACAACAACAAATGATCGTGGTGATAGCTGCGGAATTGATAATAATACACCATCAATAAATAAAACTGAATCGGTAATTGGTTTTGAACCAATTGAAATTACAGTAGAAAATCGTGGTAATAGCAGTTGTTCTAGTACTGGTGGAAATATTCATCATCCAAGTAGTAGTAATGTTATGGTTGGAAATTTACGTAATAATGACAATGTTAGTGGTCCAAATTCAAATACAAAACTACATGGTCCAACATCATCATTAGTTTTAAATAATCCGAATTCAGTTGGACAAGGAGGCTTAAATATAAATCCCAATGCATGTAATGTAGTTGCAGGTTGTGTAAATATAAACTCATCGAGTGGGAATAATGCAAATAGTAACGTTGTAAGTAGTGTAAGTATACATAAGATTTGCTATATTTTAAAATCTTTAATATAACTGGACATTTTTATATATTTTTCTTTACCTGGCAGTGTGCGATACCAGAAGAGTTTCCATTAAATGTTGGAGTTTTTCCACCGCCACCAGAGTTTTGTTCGAATGTTGTTGCTGCATCAGCTAATCCCGCCTATGGTAATATATTTATATCTGTATCAGTAACTCAAGATATGTTAGATAGCTCAGATATAAATATATATCCAGATTTATTAAATATACCAAAACGTGTTGATAATAGTACAGCTATACAAACAATGCCAATGAATGTATCATCATTTGCCACTTTACCTAGAAATCAAAGACGTGGAATTTTAAAAAAGGATACAAATTTATATCCACATGATGAAATTGTTAGTTATCATAATTTAGATACAAGCTATTGTCAACCATCTACAAATATACAATTACAAGAACATCAACAGCATCAACATCATCAACACCATCACCAACATCAGCAACAGCAATCATCCTGTAGAAATATTGTAACTCATTCAAAAAATGTTACAACTCCATCAACAGCAACAGCGTGCATAAATTGTATGAAAGCTCAACCACATCCTTATGTTAAGGAAGATGTAAATACAGCAACAAATCAAGTAGTTACAACAGCCGCAATATCATCTCCACCACCACCACCTCAATCACAATCATCATCACAAATTTTACCAATTGGCACCGCAGTACCAAATCCAATGACACGACAATGCAATATTCAAACACCGTCACAAATTTTAAATTATGATAATATGGGTAGACGTATAACAGCAAGCGGTAATTCAACTTTATCATTACCTGATGAAGAGGAACGAGAAAACGAACAAATTTTTAATGAAACAAATCAATTAAGAACATTTAAATCAACACAAAAACATCATCAAGCACAACAAACTTCATCAGGATCATCATCATCATCAACTTCGCAACAACAACAGCAACATCAAAAACAACAATCATCAACACAAACATCGAAACAAACTCAAGAATGTATGACAACTTCAACAGGATCTGATTTCGTTTCACTATAGTTTAATTTTTGTAATTAAAATCAAAAACCTCCCGTACTATGCTTGTACTTCATGTTATGTATGTATGTATAAACATAAGTGTGCAATATATAAAAGTGCATTCAAACAATAATTTGTGCACGAAATCCTTCTTTATTATAAAAATTTAATTAATTAATTTTCTGAAATTTTAAATACCTACTTTATTTTTTTTCAAAAAAAAAAAAATTAAAAGAAAATCAACCGAAAGCATGCAAAAAATAATTGTAAATGAAAATATTTAGTATAAGGCCAAAGTGGTTAAGCAAATATAAAATGATATGAAAGTTCGTATAGAAATATGCACATATATATTATATATATACATATTTATATCAATTTGCACATAACTGTGTATGTGTGGCCATATATTTGCTAAATCCTTATTCAGAAATGAAAAGAAAAAACAATTTACGATTAAACTTTAAAATTATTGAATTGATACGTCAACTTCCGCAATACCACTAAAAAAATAAATAAACAAAGAACAGTAAACTTCTGATTGAACATCTGCCTGCCTTTATCCTTCGGTCAGCGTTTCAATAAAACTATACCATTTATCTTGATTAAAGAAAATTATATTTTGTTTTCTTCTTTACATTTTTAATGAATGCAGTGTGATAAAAAATCACAAAACTAAAAAAAATTTAAAAAATTTAAAATATAAAAACCGTAAGCTACAGACTGAAACAAATTTTTTTTCCATTAACACTTTGGGTACATTCTCCTACTATAGGAGAATGAATATGCCGTGACGGCAATTTAGAGCCATAAATTGATTGAAACAAAGAATTTGAATAAAATTGTGAGAAGATTAATAAGTATTTTGTAGTAAGAACAAGAACTCAAGGAAATTTTTTTAAATAAGAGAGTAGGAGACAGTAAAATTTTTGTAAAGGTGTTCCGTGAAATTGTGTGCGAGTAGTAATATATTCGCTCTCATATTTTTAATTTTCACTTTTAGATTTAGTTTTCTCCTATTACAAAAATACTTTTCCATTTCTAATTTTTTTTTATATGTGGAGAGCCTCCCTAATAATTCATTTTTTCTTAATTAACATTTACTTTTCCATATTTGAAGCTTAAAATCAGTATCTTCGACAAGTATAATAACTATTACTAATTTTATTGTTTTCCTTAGATCTGATCTACTAATTCTGGTGATACTTGAAGGTTTATTATTGTTTAAAAGAGGTTTAAAGTTTCGACTTTTTGTACAACTAAAATTTCTTACATTTTTTACAATTAAATTTTAAGAATAGTGTTGAACTTTTTTCAATTATCTTTAATCGTAAACTAAAAAAATTAAAAACCAAGTAAATTTTACTCTCCCTATAAAAATTTATCAACATTGCACTAGTAAAAGCTTCATAGGAAAAATGTTTACGAATTTTTTAAACACACTGTGGAAATATTATATAGTACAATAAATTTTATTTAAAAAAAAAAAAGAAAAAGTAAACTTTTAGCCAAATGCAAATGCCCAATCGTTAATTAGTTAATTTAACAATATACAGAAAAATTAACAAAAATTAAATGCATTGCAAATTTATTCCAAGTTTGACAATATGGTACTTCTGGTATCATTGCATAATTAAAGTTTTGTAAAAAAAATTTTATTTTATTAAAAATGTGGGTAATTAATTTATCATTTTTGATTACAAAAAATATATGCATACGTATATGTAGGTATGTACAAATACAAAAATTAAATTATTATAATAAAAATATGCACGGGTGATTTTTCGACTTATAAATTTTTTAAAAACAAATCAAAACTTTTAGTCACTTTTTATATAATATTAAACATAACATTTAATTTTACATGAGTTTTAACAAATCAATTCAATAATTATTAATTAAAGAGTATGCAAAACCAAAGTAGTGCACCTTACATATGGCAAATAATAAAGATTTCGATAGTGATTAAAATTTAAAAATTATTATTATCGTTTTGGTGATAACATAATTACAGTGATCCAATCCGTCTTCTAGTGTATTTGCTTATACTGTATGATGTTTTTCTCTCTTGTGTCTATATGTATTGTGGTTCCAATTAATTTTTGGTAGGAAAACTACTTAATAAACTTTTAAAACACACTTGATGCAATCCATTTTTCCTCTTTTAAGCACATTATGTATATTATACGTACAGGAAAAAATTAATCTCCTTTATAAAGTCTTAATAGAATTTTGTTGGGTGAAATTACAAATAAAGCTAATGAAATCAACTTGTAATCATCATAATGCAATAATCAATTTGAATTTTTGTAAATTTTCACGTTGGCCAGCAAATTTTTTCAGATGAACACACTAAACTAAGTTTATAGGAAACTTATCTTCAAATTATGATTTTCGGTCTATAATATATTATTTTAAATAATTTTTTCTCTTTTTTACAATATATTTTTTAATAAAATCACATTTTTAAAATTGAAAAGAAAAAGCGCCATAAAAAAAGTTATAAATCCAATAAATCTTCTAAAATATAAAAGCAGGAACGGTACAAGTGAATGAAATTCTATAATATTTTAATCAAAATATCTTACATTTTATTCACCTATTGTTTTTATTTGCTTTGGTATCTTCTTGTACTTTCTCTAAAAATCCCAAACAATGGTTATGTTATAATGCACTTTAAGAGTTTCACTGCCATTTATTCCTTGTCAAGAAGGTAAAACAAGAAGAATCTCAAAATATTTGTTGAGTAATATTTACATTTAATGCTGTACCCTATAAATTTCAATTGACTACAAAAAAAATTTTAGTAACAAAACACCACTGAACAGAGCCGCACATAATTTAGAGCCGCTCCTGCATAAAATGAAGAAATAATATTGTTGTCAAAAAATTTCTCAAAAAATAAAAACTTTATTTTAGAAAGCATCATTATTTATTCACAATTAAATGTACTAATGATTATCGATTTTATTCTTTTATTATTGTAAATTAGTAGATTGTAAGTTTAATTTTTTGTTATCCACTTATACGTAAAAATTTAATTACATGGTACATGCAATGGTACATGCTTACAAGTTTACTTGTTAATTGAAAATAACCATTATACTTTTACATAATATGTATATGTATATATAGTAACCTAATATTATTATTTATAATGTGGGTTTTATTAAAGTAAATAAAGGATACATTATGATTATACTATTATCAAATAATAATATGAAAGTATAGACCACAAAATAAAATTTATATTATTTACAATTTGGTCCAGGATCTTAAAATTCAATTATTAATTCAATCCATTGTGTACAATTTAAATAAGTAGAAAACAGTAGTTTTGTTCTATTGTATACTTGTTTTTTTTTTCTTTGTTCATATTTGGTATTTGATAACTAATATTATTTTGCTTATGTATAATATATAGAATTATATAACTAATATTGTTTATATAATTGTAATTGATTGAGTTCATCAGGGAAATTAGGATAGATAGTATATCTTGTTATAAATGTGCTATTAATTAATATTATCATGTAGCAAAATATTGTAAAACATATTTGAGAAGCTTATTATGAAGTTTAAATTATCTAAGCAAATTATTATTTTTTTCATTAAAAATTAAATATGAAACTTTATTAATATTTATGTAGGTAAAAACTGTTAAAATTTTAACAAAATATTTTATGTATTTTAAAATATTTTATTTGTATGAAATGTTTTCATTTGGTAATTGTAAATTCATATTGTATTCATATATAATAAGTAACTGTATTATTAGAATTATACATACGTATAATTCAGTACACAGTTGTTACGTACAAATAAACGAGTTATTTTGTATGTATAAAATTATGAATTCAGAAAATCATCTTTAGATTTAAATATTAAATGAATGTTCTTCCGAATTGAGCTCTCTTTAATGGAAATACGCAGTTTCTCTTATAGTAAAACAATATTTTCTTAATCTTTGGACAAAACTTTATGCACTTTCCCTGTATAAGTTATTACAATCTTTAAGAAGTGTTTTAAAAATAAATAACAATCTAACAACAGAAACGTTTGATTGAAAAAAAATTTTAAATATTATTCTATTTTTAATATTTTCAATATTTTGGAATAATTTTATAGGTGTTCCGAATTATTCTTACGTTGATTTTTTAATTAATTAAAAAATTTTCAAATTGGATTTAATTCCAGTTTTACTTATGAAAATCCGGAAAATTTACTTATGAAAATCCGGAAAATGTGCAAAACAATTTTTTAAACTTAGCTAAATTTAATTTATTTAAATTCTTTTGAATTTTTATGTAAAAAAAATATAAATCTTTTATTCTAGCGAATCTCAATCGACCATTCGCCTGTTAAATTTAAAAATATTGTTTAGAAAAATCCAATTAGACAGAATTATAAAACAAAAGTCAATAAGAATACTTAGTTTCTCAGAAATATTACAAGAAATAATTTATTTCCACCCATCTTAATTATAAATTCAATTATAAAGAAATTTATTATAAGTTTTTATTATTATAGCGTAGTATATTTGCATATTTTTGGAATTCCTGTAATGTTGATGAATGCTCATACCAAATTTCGCTTTAATTTAATGGAATTTTTTTAATTTGACTTAAGAAATACCTTTTATTAATTAGGTTAATTTAGATTAAAACATCATTAGATTTATATGGTACTCATTCATTAGAGTTTACAGATAAATTTAAAGTGTATTTGTACTATGGTAACTATGATGAAAAAAAGTATAACAATCAAATAAAAACTCGTGTCTGAGTATATCCCCGGCATGATCTATACCATAAATGTAATATGTGCAAAATTGAAATTCAACAACATTTTTACATCTAAAATTATAACCGAAATTTTAAAAAAATTATTACATTTTTTAATGACACGTGATTATTACACTAAAACACATCGTAACTCTTAAATAAAAATAAACTCCATAACACCCTAATCATATCTAATTAAATATCTAATATAATATTTGCATTTATTTGTATATGTGTACGTGTATCTGTATATTTCCTTTAATGGCATAATAAATAATTTTGTTGTATTTTTAATCTTTTAAAATATTTTTTTTTTTCAATAAAATTTAATGATTTTTTTTACCCAAAAAATTTAATCACTTTGGTCTTCTTTACTAAAGTAAAATTTATTTTGAATAATTTCAAAAATCATAGATTATTAATTTAAAATTTTTTTTTTAATTTATGTTTTGTCACCTTAAAGTCATAAACCTTCCATTAGTCAAAATATTTAAAAAAGAGAAGATTATCAAAACTTTTAAATATTATTTACAATATAGATTATGTACATACATATAGTATACTATACATAATTGAAATTCAAACTATTTTATACATACATACATCATGATTAAAATTTCTTTTAAATATATACATACATAGGTAATAAAAATATTATATACAAATTCATGACATTTAGAATTTTACACAAAAAAAATTTTTAATTGACATTGTATAAAATTTCAAAATTCTCAAATTATATAACAGAATATAGTTATATATTAATACTAAATTAAAACTTAAAAAAAAAATAATAAATTTCAATAATTTTAGGTTTTTAGATAGATCAAAAATTTGTATACATTTACATATATATATATATATAGAATTAGCAAATCCTTAATAATATTGTAAATTTTCTGAATATAAAAATAAAATTGTTTTAGTAAATTTAAAAGAAAAATATCTAGAAATATTTTAAATATAAGCAGAGAAAAAAATACTGTACTTATTATTGTATGTATCTATGTACTATAGAAACTATAGAAAATATATTGAAATTTATGAAAATTATGAAAATTTATTGAAAAAATTATAATATATAAAATGGAGTGTGCATCTTTATTGTGCAAAAAAAAAAAATGAAT